TTTTCGAAAAAATACAACTTAAATGAATAACAAGACAAAAACATAAACAATACTTACAATTAGGCGTTTAAATCGGCCTTCCGCTCTATCTCGGAAATGCCGTTCGCTCGTTTTACCGTACACAACAATTTTGAAGCGGAGCGACAGTTTGCCGGGCGTGTTTATATAAGTGACTTATATAACAGTCATGAGGTACTTATAAACAATTTGTAATGAGCGCAATCGAATACGTTTGTAGCCTTAAAGGTCAAGGTCACACTTGACTCGTTACAAAATTGTAACTTTATCTAATGTCTAAGCATCAAGGGAGTATATGTTTATGGTTATCATAATATGATCTGCTTATAACATTAATAAAGATAGATCTTCTGGCATAAAACTATGTAATGCCTATACAAATGAGAGTATTAATAATAGTATTTCATAAGGAATATTCCAAGATAAACTAAAACTAGAAAGTGTTATACCTCTACATAAAGTCAAACACAAATACATGTAATTATCGGACGCTCCTATTCTTCCAACATTTTCAAAAATATTTATAAGTCACATTGCAAAAAAGCTTAACAGTTGTCACCATAAAAGATTACCGGTTATCATACTTGTCATGGGACTTTGATCTGCATTATAGATTCCTTTTTCACAAATATTGATTATGGAAAAATACTTCTCAAAATTTGCTAAGTATCACTTTTTCTACAGTGCGTTACTTTTGTGTAATTGTAATAAATGTGAAAATTGATTATAATAAGTTAGGAATTGATTTTTATAAAAAATAATGACAATGGAAATGTTCCTTGACGTGTGCCTGTTGCGTAGAGTGTGCTGGACAAAAATCAACATTTTGGAGATCACATAGTGGAACAAAAATATCTTGCAAATGAGGAAATGGTTGGCGTCGGGTTATTATTACCGAGAATGGTGTCCGCGGGCATTAATTACGGCCTGACATCGGCGCTACATGCTGCTGATGAGCCTGCGGACCTTGTAATGAGAAATCTGAGCCCATTCCTCTTATTATTGCATGTCTTAGCTCCTGAACTGTATTTGGTTGGACGGGCTTTCTGTAGCATATCCCAAGCATGCTCTATTGGATTTAAATCCGGGGACCTCGCTGGCCAATCCATGCGGACTATAATTGCCTCTTCAAGATATCGGTTTGTGATGTGGGCTCTGTGTCACTGTGCATCCATAAAAATGAAATCAGGACCGACTGCGCTAGCATACGTGTGTAAATGGACATCTAAGATTTCATTGACGTACTTAAATGCCGTCAGTTTACCGTTTTCAATGATGTGTAGGTCCGTTTTCCCCTAAGCGCTTGATCCCGCCCACACCATGACTGAACACCCGCCAAAACGGTCGTGTTCTGTAACGCATGCTGGAGCTAAGCGTTCATTTGGACTTCTCCAAACCCTAGCCCGTCTGTCCGTGAAGTCCACACAAAACCTTAATTCATCAGAGTCCAATCGTAACTGTCTATGTGACATGAGTCTGCGCCCATTGCAAACGCTCTTGAATATGGCGTTGTGTCAAAAGAATGCGAATTGCTGGCCTCCGTGACCTCAACCCAGCTTCATGCAACCAGTTTCTAACAGTATGTGTGCTTACACGCACACCAGCTGCATTCTGGGAGTCGTTACGTAAGGTCGTAGCGTTCGAGAACCGTTGGCGGCTTGCCTGAGGGACAATAAATCGGTCCTGGGCTTGAGTCGTTGAACGTTCCTCACCTCCGGCGTGGCCCTGCAAGACATTTCCAGTCATTTGGAATCGGTTCCACATCCTGGAGACAACACTCTGGGATACCCCAAGGACATGGGCAACGTGCATTTGTGAACGGCCAGCCTCCAGCATTCCAATACCCTTGTTCATCTCATCTTCACTAAGACGACGTCTAACTTGTCGATTTGCCATAGTTTGTTAATTTCAGTTTTACAATAAAACGAGAGAAGTCTTGCTGCTTGTACACGTTTAAGTGAAAGCAAAACACCAAATTTCCATGGGTATGCTTTTCCACGTGCTTATCGTGCAAGGTGTATATGACAAATCGATAACTTAAGTACAGGATAATGAGGTACAGGTGTATCGTTAGCGGAAATATGATTTTAATAGGACTGAAATATGCAATGTCAAAAAGGTGATCCTCAGCAAATTTTGAGTTGTATATAATAGGAGTTGTATATCTAGATAAAACATTTGTTTCAGTTGACTACAATATACTGATTCATAAGCCAAAACTTTATCATCATCTTTCTGAAACAATATACATTTCTTCCCAATGATATCTCTATGACAGAGAGCAAATTGTTATACATCTTAAAGATTATCCCTTACATCAGGCGTACCACAAGGGTCAGTCTTAGGTTCAATACTGTTTCTTCTATGTGTAAATGATTGTCCGTAACTACGAAATCAGAAAATGATATCTAGCTTGGAAAACATATATTTATTAAACTTTAACTAACTTGCACTGAGCTTGTTTCGAAATATCCTTATTGAAAAGAATTCAACATTTTCTTACACTTAAAATGAAAAAAATATTACAATGATTTAAAACCCAATATTTTATTATGGTTGTAAAGAGAAGTCCCAAAGAAAAAAATCAGACCTAAAAGTGATTAGGAAACTGAAAACAAGAACTGTCAGAATTATCAAGAATGGTAATATAAAAACAATTTACGCTAACAACAATGTACTTGCTTACAACACAACTTAAATCATATGGCGCCGAAACAAGAAAGATGATTTTGGCTAATCTATATAGGTGTTACAAACATGAAGCAAGAGCAGGGGTCAAAACCAACTCACCTACAGGAGATAAGAAATCCCTTTTAGTCGCGCAGGGAAAAACGGTGGCTGCAATTCGGATGCCTAAACCTTTAAAATCAACCCCTCAGCTACAAGGGTAATTTTCAAATGTTTTAATTATTTAAAGGCTTTATTGAAAATAAAATGTTGCATTATATGTGTCATCTTTGGTGCCTTGATGTGTTGTCTTAATAAGCTACCTTCGTTATATAATTATCACCATTGTTAATTTGCATTTCCTTGGCTAATAAAAATCTAGATTTAGTTTGACTATTGCAGAAATTTGAACTTGTTGTGAATCATGTAGCTCTAGTAATGTACATTAAACATTGTATGTCTTTCAGCTAATAACTGTGTATGGCTAATGTTTACTGAATATAACTGAAATTCAAGTGTTATTGCAGATTGTCTTATTTCTCTGGAGCAATTATTACTATAATAACTGGCAAAAAATATTGACAATTGTCCGTAGCTATTAAATAATAACATCACGAAATCCTTACATGACGTATTCCTTGTCACATCATCTTTGAATTTCTACATAAATATTTACAATTAAACAATCCCTTATTACTTTCATCGTTAAAAACAAGGTTTCAATATTGATTCGATTGCACTAATATTGGTCCATATTTTATATTTGGTTTTGATTGAACAAATGCGACATATTGTGTATGTAAATATCGAATTTCATTGAAGCTTTACTATTACTGTTACCATAGCAACCACATTTCGGAAGATACAAACTAATATTAGGTAAGGTACGTTATCTGAGTAAGAGCTTTAAACAGGGACGCTTTTTTTACACAACTACTGCAGTGCACCTATTTCTGTATTAATTGAAAACTGAGTTTATAAAAGCAGCAATTTGTAAAAAAAATATGGTCACAATCGCTTTTAAGGGCTCGTTTGTCCTTAAAGCTTTATTAATGATCAAAAGAAAACTAAAGCCGTAATTTTGATTTTACGGGCGTAAATTGGGCATTTTTGACAATATACACGCCCACCAGTAATTATGGAAATTAACGCCCATACTTTTCTGTTTTTTTCCTTGCTCTTAAAACATTGTGTTTTACGCCTCGAAAGTGACTTTACGTTGGAATTTTCGTACGGGATTACAAAAAAATAGCATATTAGAATAATGGATGAATAATGGATGAGTAGAATCTACTTCTTTGATAAAACTGTTAAAACTTTAAGTGTGATTAATCTGTAATAAATGATTATAGTTTTAATGAATCAGTTACATATCAGGAATTTCGAATATAAAGAGCAATCAATCGCTTACAAATTATGTTCATAAAAACTCGAAATACTTACGAGATATTTTGCAATAAATAGGTGATTAATTGGCTATAATTTTATTCTTAAACCCTGATTTTTCCATTTTTTGTTTGGGTATACATGTATATGTCCAGTGAATACCGTTTAGGAAACTGTAACGTTAAGAAAAAGAAACTTTTAAAAAATAAGTAATGGAAACTTAATGGGTCTTAAATAAGAGAACGAAAGTGGCAATTCGACAAACAACTTTTCTTGAAAATTATTTTCTCAGAATTGAAAAATTTATTGCCTACTGATGTCTTTATAATATACATTTCATTTTTAGAAACTTGAACGACCATTTTGTCCTTACCCTTAACAGGCATATACTGGTAACATAAAACTATTCAATTTGAAACCAGTAGGAAACTTCATACCAGACAAGTATTTTATTAGTCAGCGACCATGACCAAAAATCAATTTGAGTCTCCTAGAGACCATGGGCAATGTTCCCTCTAAAGTTTCATAAACTAAGTCATATTGCATGTACTTCTCAAGATATAAACAAGAACTTTACATGGATTGAAAGCGTCATTGTGACCTTTGATCATATGACTAGGGGAACACTGGCCATGGGCAATCATCCCAGGTTTAAAAACTTTGCCTTGTTACATCAACTAATGCGGATTCCTTCTCCATTTTTTTCATTTGACACTTCCGTGGTAGGATTCAAACATACATTTATCAGGAGTGTGTTACTTAATGTCACAAACCATTACCTTTGGTTGAGGCAAGAAAAATTAATGAACTACAAGTTTAAAACACACAGTAAAATATTGGTAGACACCTTTATTCTTATATAAATATGAACACATTCTGGTAATACCAATGTATATATTGTGGTAATACAAATAAACACATTCTGGTCATACAAATGTTTATATTGTGGTAATACAAATAAACACATTCTGGTAATACAAATGAACACATTCTGGTAATACCAATGTATATATTGTGATAATACAAATAAACACATTCTGGTAATACAAATGAACACATTCTGGTAATACCAATGTATATATTGTGATAATACAAATAAACACATTCTGGTAATACAAATGAACACAATCTGGTAATACAAATGAACACATTCTGGTAACACCTATGTAAATATTCAAAAAAAAAAGATCTCAGGAAAGACATCAAATATTTCAATTTCCCACAATTTCAAGCAGAAAGCAATATGTTGTTTTTTTAAAAAAAGAAACCTAAAAGAAAATTTTTGTAAACAACGTTATTATTTACCCCTTAATAATCATGTTACCATAGCAATTAAGTTAATATTTATATTGGTAAAGAATAGCAAGTAAGTTAACTTTTCTGATAATGTTTTCTTTAGTTCAAAATATTACACTGTCTAGGGAAGTTAAATCAATATGTGCGTCTACAAGTAAGTTTTTATTAATTGTACCGTTATTGTGATAATGTCACCTTTCATCAATATATTGCATTGTTAATGACATTAATAATTATTTCCATCTCTACAGTTGCAATAGGTCATCTTTTCAATGTTCATAACTTAACACACTTCAATGTTCACAGGTCAATATATTTCAGTGTGTGTAAGTAAACACATGTCTATATATCAAGCGTTCATAAATAAATTAACTCTTGTTTATAATGTATATAGTGTTCATAAGTTTACATATATTTACAGTTTTCAAGACATGCACATGTCAAAGTAAGTAATAGTTTTATGAGTGTAGAAAATGTTTTATTCATCATCATCACTTTCTATAATTTTCCTTTTCTGTATAACTTTTCTCAAAGGTACATGATCATCTAGATCAGAATCTGACTCTTGCCCCTGTGTATATAGTGTTGCTGGGAAACTACCTGAAAACATATAACATATACGGTAAAACTTCTGCAGAACAATATACAAAGATTCTGGTAGATGAGAGGAGTTGCTCCTGAGAGATTAAATTTGTTGTGAAGTTTTACTTTTGGAAGAAATAATACTGACTGATATATAGAGGTTATTGCTCTACAATGGACAACTCTGCAAAGATTGCATGATACAACCTTAAGACCAAAGTCAATCATTAAGTTTGTACAAAGGTGATATAAATAGGTTACTGCTCTACAATGGACAACTCTGCCAAGGTTGTACCGTACCAATTATTTAAAGAATAATCCAAAGTGTCAGCGTTAAACAATTAATTTGTAGCTAGACTATGTAGAAAACAAAACAATATAATCTAATTTATTTCAGCAATAGTTTTGGCTTTGTAAATTGAATAACTTTGTAATTTACAGCTTAAAAAAGTAAGTTTTCAAATGTTTTCCAGCAACAAATTGCATGCACTTAAAAAAAATAAAACAATTTTATGACATTTTTGCTATGTGTTTAATTTTGAAAATGTTTAATCAAAATGTAATGTGGTATAAATAAATATATGAAAAGGTGGTTTTAATCACTCAAAGAATAAATGAAAAAGAAGATAAAAGTTCCTGAAGATGTTTTTTTTTTTTTTTTAAATGACAAAATCTCAGTTTTAGAAACTATGATGTCAGCTACAATCCATAAATTATTATAGAAACAGAATTACCTTCAGTGGCTGAGGGAACTGGTTTATCATCATCACTATCACTATCCATTATTCTTGCTTTTTTAGCTTGACCTTGGCTGACCTCTGTCTCAGAATCACTTGACCTTGACCTCTTGCTTGACTGACTAGCTGACTTGCTTGAAGGGGTGTCTCGTCCTTTTGTAGAACCTTCAAATAGAGACAGAAAGTTATCTCTCTCTTAAGTGTAGAGACTTATAATATAATGCTATGTAATGTTCCATGCTTTTAAATATTTGCATTTCTTTTTAGAAATACTTTATCAACAATGTTTCTAAACATTTTTTAAACATTTATAATTGCCTCTCATTTCACATTTTACAACTTGTTTATACAAAACATTATCAGTAGCAAACTGAAGAAGAGGAAGTAGGAATCAGCTATCAAACCTCAATTAGACAAAAGAGTGTCTCAGATTACATAAGAGTTTAGATGAATGATCTGAACTGTAAACTTCACATGATGCAAAAAGAATCACAGGGGGATTTACCATTTTCTTGGTCACTCTCATCACTGCTTGATGAAAATGATAATGGCTGACTCTTAGAATCCTGTGACTGGTTTTCCTTATCTTCATCAGAATCAGACTGTGTCCCTGTTGCTAAATTTTTCAACGGTACATCATCATCAGAATCAGACTGTGTCTCTGTTGCTAAATTTTTCAACGGTACATCATCATCAGAGTCAGAATTAGACTGTGTCTCCGTTGCTAAGTTTTTCAATGGAACATCATCATCTGAGTCAGAATTAGACTGTGTCTCCGTTGCTAAGTTTTTCAATGGCTCATCATTATCACTGAAAATGTACACAAATTGTAACTATGAAATTCTTTGATTGATATGGAAACAAAGTATCTAAATGTAAATTAAATATGATGATTTTTATTTTTAAGAATTTGAAAAGGGAACAATTCATTAACATCCTTTGTGGGAACATTTCATCACATGCTGTTTGAGACCATTTTTTTGCATTCGACCTTCAAGTTTGACCTTGACCTTTAACCTAGCCACATGTTTCTTGCCTACGACACACTGTCTCATTATTGTGAACATTTGTGCCAAGTTATTTAAAATTCTGCTGACTAATGACAAAGTTATGGTGCAGACAAGCATAATCCAGACTGATGGCTGAACGTACATACATTGTACACTAAACCGCAATTGTGACAACTATGTTGAGCTCTCCGCAAGCAGGCTCAACAGAAAACCCAATACATCTATCTAATTAATAAAGACGACTTTTTATTCAGTTTTAAATTTTATGATAGAAGATAATGATACACACCTCTCACTATCAGAAGAAACGATCTTCTTCAGTCTCTTTTTCTGTGATGAATGAGATATCTGGGAACCAGCCATACTTCTCTCTGGTGACTGTGTCCTGGCTTCACTATCAGACTGTGTTCCTGTAACTGTAGACTGGACTCCTGATCTCTGGCTGGTCACAGACTTATCATCATCACTAAAACAATAATGAAAAAATACTAGTGTAAATATGCCATAAATATTGCATAGACACAAAAATCTAGCTTTTTGATTGGGTTTCAGTAACACCGACACTGCTGTCATATGATAACTATCTATTGATAGTAGTCAAAAACAGTAACTGTTCACAAATGTTAACTTTAGATTATTTCATATAAGGTAAGCTTACAACATGACATTAAATTTTATATAAATATATATTTTGGACCTCCAGTTGAGCTCCTTTAACATAAAATCCTCAATTCTATTGTAAATACAATATATGTTAAAAAAATGTCTTCCTTGTTAGTGCAGTGAAACTGTTTAAATTTCCAATAATAAAATTTACAAGAATTATAGTAAATCTTATAAATTACCTATCACTATCAGAGGATGACACCATCTTTACTCTCTTCTTTTTACTTGAAGAATTTCTGGACTGGTTCTCAGTATTATTCTCTCTTACAGGTGAATCTACCCTGTCATTCAAGGAACCAGTTTCATCAGAAGCAGGCTTTTTTCTTATCCTGCAAATTTCAGTATTTAAACATTTTCCATCAATTAATATTGACATATAGGGATATATTTTCTAATGACATGGACCGAAATAATGTATTTTTCGTGAATGACTATGCTAGACTTTACCTTGCAGCTATAGACCTGAATTTGTGCATAATGTATCAACTTATCAGCGTAATAAATTAAAAAAAAATCATTCAAAATATGACACAATTAGTATTTTTCAATCTTTTAAACATTGACCTATATGTGTAAATTTTACATATGGGCCTTGGGCAATACAGTAAGGTTTAAATTTCTCTAAAGGATTGACATTTATGTATTTTACAGGACCTGATTTGGTTTACAGATATAAACATATACAAACATGCACATAAATTGACACCTGCATGTAAAAGGAAAGAATGTGACATTGGCTGCAAAGAAATATGTTGAGTTATGACTTTGATTTAGCCACAGAGTGTACCTCGAAATTGTAACAGTTGTATTTCTGCAAGTTATGTAGAAGTTGAATCAGCGAAGCTGACTCACCAACATTTAATCTCACTACAACACCTCTGAAATATTTAGATTCTTATACACAATATACAAATAACTTCATCAATATTAGACACTTACCTTTTTGTTTTCTTAGCCTCTGACTTCTTTTTCACCAATTCTTTTAAGGCAGCAAACTTGCTGGCATTCTTCTTCTGTTTTGGTACCTTTTCCTTTTTTCTCTTTCCTTCTTTCTTTTGTTTCTTTTTTCTCTCCACTTTTTTTATTTGAATTCTGTCTGCATTAACAGGATGGTTATTTTCATCTAACACTAAACCTGAGGCAATATTACGAAGCTCAGCCACACTTAATTCTGCAGGGATTCTCCAAAATGCCTCCTAGCAATCAATAATAACTATTAATATATAAAATGATAACACATGTATCACTAACAAAATTTTATCCGTATATCTATAGTAGAATAAAATTTGATTATGTGCTTGATAATACAAAACCATTTCTGTTACTAATTTACAAGAATGACAATGGTCATGGATTTGAGAAGTTTGTGACCTTGACTTTGTTTACCTATGTGACATCAGTACCAGCAAGTCCATGAAGACCACTTCAAAGCCACTTATATATTTATAAATGTTGAAAATCTTACAGTTCCTCTCACATGCAATATTTATTCAAAGCTTCAAGAAAATGATTCATGTTTAACAATAAAAAGCGATATTCAATAAAAAAAAGTGTTTTAAAAGCTGTATTTTTTTGCTAATCATAGAATAAATTGGAACTAAAAGTGAACCTGTTCATTAGCCGGTGGAGCTAGACCAATTTTACTAAGGAAAGATAGAAACATTTTGTCCTCCATGGCTGTCTCGTTCTCCTCCGTTAGAGGAACTATCGGCACTCCTACATCCTCATCTATAATTATATAATATTCATTTTATCTTCACTTATTTGGTTTATCATCTTGCCATTATGTACTGAATTATTATAAAAATCCTTCATTTAAACATGTAAATTTGACTAATTTAAATACTCAGCTTAAATAATTTCCTGCAATTTTTATCGGTTCAAGGACAGTAAATTCTAAAACCATTGACCTATCATCTCCAAAAATGACCTATCATCTCCAAAAACAAAGGTGTTTAGTCAATAAAACCCCACATTTTTCAAAGTTGAGCATAAAAATATTATGTACTTTTTTAAGTTATCTTAACCATCTACTGGGAGTATATAAAAGGACTGCTGTAAGACTGATATAATGGTAGCAAACATTAGAACTGATCTGTTTGGGACCATCAAGCATACATCTGTCATTTCTTTAAAATCATTACTTTAAATGGACATAGTCTTTCATTTAAACAAAAACAAAACAAAAATTCGTAAAATATGGATCCTAAAATTTGATATTTAGAGTGAACATAAGGATTTAACATTCTCTAAAAACAAAAAGCATTTGAAAACAAAGAGAAATATGTATGAATACAATCATTCTGCTCTTATTGTGTACTTCAGTAAAGTTTTATAACTTTGCTTTAGAATGAAAGGGGATGAACTCTTACCTTCCTCCTCACGATCATCTGCAGTGCGATTAAGTCCCCTTTGTATCCAAGCTATCTGATCCTTATAACCTATCATAAAATATGAAGAAACCTTCATTATCATTCATAATCATGGAACAAGATTTATAAACCAAGAAAAATGAAAGCTAAGTTTTGCTAAAAGGTTTAACAAAAGACCAAAACAAAATTTATTTTAGTTAAAAAAAGGCATTTATTTCATTTTGTCAAATTTGATTTCAGGATAAAGCAGATTGATACAACAAGAGCTGTCAGAAGGACAGCGCGCTCGACTTTTTTAGTGCTTGCCTATAAAACAAAACTTTGACAGTTAAGGGCACACAAGACTTTAACTAGGAATTTCTAAGTACAAATCAAGAAACATTTTCACAGAGTTATCTTCTCTTGCTTACAGATAGGTCTCATGATGGCACATAAGAACTCCAACTTCCAAAGTAATATCTCAAATGGTTAGGTCAACAAGTGGACAAGAATGAAAATTTTAACTGAGTTTCTAAGTCAAAAAGGGCCATAATTCAAATAAAATCCTTAACAGAATTACCTTCTCCTGCCCATGTTTGGGACCATGATGGTAAACAAGTATTCCAACTTTCAATTTAATATCTCAACCAGTTCAGTCAAAAAGTTGACTGGTACAAAAAACTTAACCAAGATTCTAAGTCGATAAAAGGCCTTAATTTTTAAAACAAATCCCTGACAGAGTTACCTTCTCTTGCGTACAGATGGGGGTAATGATGTGAAATAGCATTAAAAGTTTCAAAGCAATATCTCAAAGGGTTAAGGCAATAAGTGGATTTTACCCATATTCAATGTATTTTCTAAGTCAAAAAAGGGGCATAATTCTGTCAAAAACCTTGACAGAGTTATGTCCTCTTGTCTGTTGATGAAGGTCGTGATGGTAAACAAGTATGGTCAGTTTCAAAGCAATACCTCCCAATGGTTTTGAAATAAAGTGAGGTGGTACAAAAAACTTAACCAAGCTCAATACACTTTCTAAGTCAAAAAAGGGCCATAATTCTGTCAAAAACCTTGACAGAGTTATGTACTCTTGTCTGTAGATGGAGGTTATGATGGTGAACAAGTATGGTAAGTTTCAAAGCCATACTTGTAATACTTCTGAAATAAAGTGGGGTGGTACGAAAAACTTAACCAAGGTGTGACGCCAACGCTAACGCCGACGCCGGGGCGAGTAGGATAGCTCCCCTTTTCATAGAAAAGTCGAGCTAAAAATGGTAACCAAGATCTGACAATTAACATTACAAGTTAACCAAGATCTGAAAAAGTATATTTTCATACCTTTTTCAACTAAGCCTGTAATAATTGCTGTCATATTGTCTGCTGAGTCAGATGATTTATTTTTAGAATCATCATCACCACTGTCATCATCAGAGCCACGCCTACTTTCATCCCGACTATCAGAGCTGCTACCACTGACACTGCTTACATCACTATTGTCGCCACTGTGACCCTCATCAATGTCAGATGGTAGTTCTCGCATACCTTAATTAAGAAAACATGTACATGTATCTACTGCATGTTTAACACTTTCTCATGCTTTTCAAGGAATGCTACCGTATAAGTGGTTTTTTCTGCGGGCTCCAAATTCTGCGGTTTTTCCAAATTTTGGCATGTTTTTATTTCTGCGGACTTTATTTCTGCGGCACATTCTTTGGACAAAACATGATTTAAATTCTGCGACTCGTCTTATCAAAGTATAAGTCACATTACCCTATCTATTATATTTACATATATACGTTCGCATTTGTTTATCGTCGTCACCGCAAAACTGTATAGTAATTACAAACAATTATATTGTTTGCTTGCAAACAAATA